TGTCCGGACCGGTCCGGACACAGGTCCGAAAAACAGTCCGGAAATGTCCGGTGTCCGGGTCCGCGGTTACCATGATAAGCTCCCTTTCTTTTTTTTTTTAATGGATGCAATAAGCTCCTCATCACCCCACAGGAATGGTTTGCTAGAAGATTTGCTCATCTGGTAAAGCGAGGCAAGCCCCACTTGTGCTATGCTTGTGCTTGGAATGCATGAACCTGTTCATGATAACAGACAGGTTTGTGCTTTCCTACAAACATGGCAACACTGGCCGAGTCCCTAAGCCTAACATCCCCACTTAGCTGTGGTCCTGTGGACTCATTTCCAATCCAGTTAGTATCCCCACATTTCCAATCCAGTTAGTATCCCCACATTTCCAATCCAGTTTTTGTGAGTGCTGCATGGCTGTTGTCAGCTCGTGTCGTGAGATGTTGGGTTAAGTCCTATAACGAGCGCATCCCTCGTTTTGTGTTGCTAAGACATCGCAACGATGTGCTGCACTCACAAAAAAAAACTGCCAGTGAAATACTGGAGGAAGGTGGGGATGACATCAAGTCCGCAATTGACCTGTGGACTCAGTTCGTGTCCAGTTATCAGTCTCTGAAGCTTTCATGCTCTTTCCTGGCCCCATAGGCTTGACCACCTCCTCCTCGTCCTGCTCCTCCTCTCTCCTCCTCCTCTTTCCAACCTCTTGCTCACCTTAATGTGCAATTCAAGTTAAACATTATGCTGCAGGCAGTGTCTGAAATGGACATCAGAAAAGTATGTGACAAACAAGTTGAGGTTGACGAGGTGCAGTGTGAGAGAGGTTGATGGGTTGTGCAGAAGGGAGAGAGGAGTCATGCGCAGAGGATGGTAGACCAGGAGCGCCACTTACTCGCAGAGAATCAATGGGCGCCATTCATGAGGGTCGTTGGCAATGGCGACAATATCTGGGACACGCGCATACATAGGGCAGACAACATCCGTTGTGGATGTACGAGATCCGCCTCCCTCGTAGTGCAGGATCCGCGTACGGTCTCGTCCTCTGATCCACCCTGTCATCCATCAATAAGATTCAGCATGGTTGACGACTCTCAGTATTCAATGTTCAAACTTTTTAAGTTTTCGAAACTTTACAAAGGGTTGGGTTGAACCATGGTAACCCCGGACCCAGACACCGGACACTTCCGGACTGTCTTCCGGACCAGTGTCTGGACCAGTCCAGACTGTCCGGTGATCCGGACATCACCGGACACCGGACAGTCCGGACCGGTCCCCGGGGTGCAAAAAATGTCTGGA